CGTTTATCAGACTTCCGTTGCATACATGCTCTTCCTATATTGGTTGATCTTTGGTTCTGCCCCATACTCGTTGATGAAATCACGAGTATGTAACAGTTTTGGTATCGGAGCAGACCATTTCATGGATCTGCTCACAAGGTAAGTCTGATTAGGAATAAATTGCTTCTTCGATCTTCCCAATCAGCTCTGTATTACTATCGAGATTCAAAGTTGCAATTTTTTTTTTCTTTTTCGGTATTCTGTTTAAATCGGCATTCCGTTTCAATTCGTTATTCGGACTTTTTCTTCGGATTTCTGTTTTAATCCGGTATTCTGGTTACTTCAGATTCCGATTAAGTGCATTCTGGGTAATCCGACATTCTGTTTAATTCGGATTTCTGATTATTAATTCGTGATTAGGTTTAAATCAGTACTCTGTTTAATTCGGCATTCTGATTTTCAATTCGGTTTCCGTTTTTATAATTCAGCATTCTGATTTTAATCCTGTATTTCGTTTTCTAAATCGGCATTTCCGTTTTATTGCAGTATTGGAAATTAGGGTTACGAAAATTTTTGGTTTTCAATCAACTTGGGAAATTCGAACGTTTTGGAACCGTAAATCCGGAAATTCCGCGGAATCGCAGAAAATTAGGGTTGGGCCCGAAATTTTCGCGAAATTTCTTTTCTTTCCCTGGTTTGAGAAATTCCGAAAACGAACTTGGGCCTTTAAAAATCGGATTTTGTACGGTGAAAATCCAGAAATTTTACGTTTTTCGAAATTTCGAGTGATTTTCTTCCAATATTTCCGAAAATGTTTTTTGGCAAATTGTTCGTCATTGTTCCCCAGAATCGCAACTTCCGGGAAGTTCACTATTCAACGGTGAACTCCCGGACTAAAGATGATCTCAACGGATACCTAATCTTGATACAATTCAAATTCGTTCATTATCATTATTGCAAATATTGTTTTATTGATTATTAATTCGTTATTTATCATTAATTAAACTTTATTGATTAAATAATTCGTTATTATTGTCTTATTACGAATTTTTGAGTTGTTTTCGGGAAAATTCATTTTTTCTGTTTGATTAGGTGTTTAAAGTCCATCCGTGGGACAGGCACTGTATGCGAAGTGCTTGATTGATTCTATCCCTGTTCCCACTCTCCCTACCCTGCCCGTAATCTGTGACCACCGGGATTTCTCAAGTACCACATCAGCTAGAGCTGATGTCGACGGAACAGGACACCGGGGCACTGCCACGACGCAGTGCCAGGCTTGCAGTTCGTACCCGTCCTGTGGTACCTCCACGAACCAAGTATCAGCAACAGCGGCTCAGCAAGCGGACGACTCCAGCGGCATCGAGTACAGCACTGACAGTACCGGTTACCACCGGAGTTCTTCCCGCATGTCCGGTCCAAGGGGCCCTTGAACCGTTGGCTGACTACCTTGGGCGGCTACAGGTATTCGCGGATGCCGTAGCTACCGCCAAGGCTCAGCAGGAGGCAGCAGAGACAGAACATCAGCTGCTGGCCAATGAGGCGGCAGCCCAAGCTCAGCAGACTGCTGAGGCTGACGCAGCGGCACGAGACAGGCGGAATGCCGCCAGCACGGAGTCCCTGATTCAAAATGAGAATCAGTGGGCAACGGTACTCCAAGGCATGATCTTTGTGCCTACGGACGAGCAGGCGGATCCGACACAGGCGGAGGCAGAGAGAAGTAACCTGGCTACCCTGATGTTGAGCGTGATGAGGGGAGTAATGTGGAACAACAAACTGCTGCAGGCACAACTGCGCACGGAACGACAGCAAAGACAAAAGCACCAGCAAGACATGGCCGCTTTAACCGATGCCGTCCGTGCCGCAGCAACACAGCAGCAGCAACAGCAACAGCTGTTGAACTCCACTCTCACGCGCATCAACAACATTGAGGCTAAGACCTCGGCAGCGCCAGGCTGCACGACAGACGCGACGAAGCAGCTCAACGAGCGCATCGATCACATCGTCACTATAATTGGCGAACTAGGTGATTTCACTAGTCCAGCCACGATCAGCAGCACGGTGGCCGCCATCAAGACGAGCATCACCAAACTGCAGACAAGACCGGACGCCGCTACAAAGAATTACAAGATGCCGCACTTCGACATCAGCAAGTTCGACGACTACAACAAGACGGACGCCTTGACATGGTGGCAARGTTTCCTCACGRAAGCATCATGCCGCACTGTCCCGGCTGACGACATGATGAAGGCGCTCTACTTACAACTGATTGGAGGAGCGCAGGCATGGATGAACCATCTGGCGGCTACCAAGAAATGCACCATCGCCGAACTCCACACGCACATCACGTGGAAAGAGTTCGAGAAGCTATGGTTCACTCGGTTCATGGTCCGCAACGTCGTGAAGGCGGCCATGAACGAAGTGTACACCTGCTCTCAAGGGAGTATGCCAACTCGAGACTGGACAACCAAGTGGCAAAAGATAGTGACCACGCCAGGCTTCGATTGAGTTTTCCTAACCAACGATCCGAGTTCTTCTCGCGATCATGCGCAGGACTGTGAACCGCACTCGGCAACGAGTACGATTACGCCTCATTCCAGGCCATCCTGGATCGTGCGAACTTGGTCATCCAAACGGATGACAAGGCCGCAAACGAACGGCAGTCCCAGCCGCATTATGTGGCTAAGCAGGGCTATCAACGACCGACACATAACAATCCCGTGATTTCTGAAGAAACAGTCGATCTCCACGCTGCAGCACCATCCTCGAGTGATGGAGGAATTGTAGCAGCGCTCCCGCCGAAGTGTCCCAAGAGAGTTCGGAAGAACAAGGCGACACAAGAGACGGCATCGACGGGAACTGGGCAGCAGCCATGGACGGCATACAAGATAACCAAGGAAATCTATGACCTTCGTCAACGATACGGATATTGCCTTTGGTGCAATGGAGTCACTCACTTGACCGCACAATGCCCCGAAAAGGGCAAGGCACGTGTACCCCGTCCAGCTAACTCGGGAAACTGAGTTACGCAAGGAGAGGGGCGACGTCTCTCCTCACTCCGCCAGACCCGGTTGCCTTGCTAGCAATCGATGTCACTACCGGGGAGCATGCGTTAGTCGCTGATTTTCGTGCTACGTACGAGGATTATGCCGCCCAGCTGGTACCACCACTAGACCAGCCGAGCCACGTGCACTTAGATTACGTATGCGCAGCCTGTACACCGTCGGCAAGTGATCCGGTCAGTTCGCCACTGATTTCCGAGGACTCGGCGGCGTGGTCAAGACTTGAGGAGCTTGACCCGCTCACGAGAGAGGACTTCGCTTGGATGCCTCTACCCTCGACCGGAACCTTGCCAAGGCTGCATTGCAACTCCTTGATGGCAAATCTACGCTCCTATCTGCACACTACAGTACCAGCTCCGTTGACGGACGACGTGGTAGCGGTTGTCGATCTCCGCTTTTATCTTGTGAAGATTGACCGCGAGTACGCCACCCAAAGGTACGCCGAAACCGACGCTCCTTTGCTCTATATCCGCATTCAAATCGGAAAGGCAACCTGTAGTGCCTTGATTGATTGCGGAGCGTCTCGCAACTTTATGAACCAAGCCTTTATGGCCCACGCAGGCCTTGGCCCGCGCGTTCGAAGGACGACGCAACCCACGCAAGTTACACTCGCGGACGGCCGCACGCAAAAGTCGATTGACTGATGCGTCGACGACATTCCGGTATACTTTGCGCCACTTGCGTTCGAGCCGGTGTCTTTTGACATCCTCGACACCAAGTTCGACATGATTCTAGGCATGCCTTGGTTGCGTAGCGCCAATCATCCGGTGAACTTTCATGACCGAACCGTTCACATTCGTGATCGGAACGAAGTGTTAGTCCCATGTACGGTCGCGACCCCTCACACTTCGATTGCTTGTCACATGGTTTTCGTTGCGAGAAATCGCGACGCCATAGCTCGGAATGACGTCGAGGAGATGGGCCTTGTATTCTTGCATGCTCTCCCCTCGYCGGACGGACCAGCCGCGTCAAAACCGGACCCACGCATCACTCACCTCTTGGACGAGTATGGAGACGTCTTCGAGGCTCCCACCGGAACGGTTTCGGATCGGCCCATACGTCACGGGATCACTCTCGAGGCTGGCGCCGTCCCTCCGCGTGGATGTATCTACCACATGAGCGAAGAGGAACTCGAGGTGCTTCGCGCACAACTCGATGACCTTCTCGACAAGGGCTGGATTCGCCCTAGTTGCTCGCCATACGGTGCCCCTGTTCTCTTCGTCCGGAAGAAAGAACAAAGATCTACGGTTATGCATCGATTATCGCAAACTTAACGCACAAACCGTAAAGAACGCCGGCCCTCTCCCTCGGATTGATGATCTCCTTGAGCGGTTAGGCGGCGCGACGTACTTCTCGAAGCTGGACTTGAAGTCGGGTTACCACCAGATTGAAATCCAGCCTCAAGATCGGTACAAGACCACGTTCAAGACGCGGTACGGGCATTTTGACTGGGTTGTCATGCCATTTGGCCTCACCAATGCCCCCGTGACTTTCCAAGCAGCTATGACGACTGAGTTTCGCGACTTGCTCGATCGCAGCGTCCTCATTTACCTCGATGACATTTTGGTTTATAGTAGGACGTTGGACGAGCACATCGTACACCTTCGCGCTGTTTTGGATCGTTTGCGACTAGCCAAGTACAAAGCGAATCTCGACAAGTGTGAGTTCGCCAAGCAGGAGCTTGAGTACTTGTGTCATTTTGTCACGTCGAAAAGCATTCGTCCCTTAGCGGACAAGATCCAAGCCATCGTGGATTGGCCAGAACCCCGTTGCACGACGGATGTACGCTCTTTCATGGGTTTGGCTGGATATTATCAGCGATTCGTCGAGTCATACTCGAAAGTTTCCGCTCCTTTGTCGAGACTTCAGTCCCCGAAGGTGCCCTTCGACTTCGACGACGCAGCCCGTGGTGCGTTCACTACGTTGAAGGCAGCRATGCAAGCCGCACCTGCCCTCCGCATATACGACCCCACTCTTCCCACCCAAGTGACTACGGACGCTTCGGGATACGGTATTGGTGCGGTGTTGGAACAGTGTCACGAGGACGGTTGGCATCCGGTCGAGTATTTCTTCCAGAAGGTGCCTCTCGTCAACACTCTCGACGACGCTAGGAAGAAAGAGCTACTCGCGTTCGTCACCGTTCTCAAACGGTGGCGCCACTTTCTTCTCGGYCGTCGGCGTTTTAAATGGAATACGGACAACAATCCGTTGACCTTTTACAAAACGCAGGATACGGTCACTAGCACGATCGGTGGATGGATGTATCACATCGCCCAGTTCGACTTTGACCCGTGCCACATTCCCGGTCCCGCCAATCGAGTTGCGGACGGCCTCTCACGACGGCCCGATTGTTGTGCCACTGTGACCACGGCATTCGACCTCGATGACGATCTGCAGCCGCACTTCGTCAAAGGCTACAAGTCCGATCCGACTTACTCTACACTTTACGCGGAGCTTTCATCGGATCGCCCGCCGGCTAGCCACTATCGAATTTCCGACGGGTTCCTTCTCCTTCACACGAGAGGAAAGGACTTGTTAGTTGTGCCCCAAAATCGCATCTTACGGACTCGTCTTCTCGGCGAATTCCACGACGCACGACTTTCGGCACACCTTGACGTGAACTGCACATTAACGCGCCTCCGCCAGCGTTTTCACTGGCCCGACGTCCTTCATGACGTCACGAGGTACATTGAGTCATGTGCAGTTTGCCACCGTAACAAGGGTCGATCTCGAGTCCCCTTCGGCGAACTGAAACCGTTGCCGATTCCTCGGGCACCACGCCTCTCCATTGCTATGGACGTAACAGGCCCGTTCCCCCGCGATCGCCATGGCCATGACGGTATTCTCACGATCGTTGACCGTTTGAGCAAGTATGCTCTCGCTTCCTTCCTTGCAAGTATCATGCTGCAGCACCGGAGCTCGCACGATTCTTGCACCCCAACCAGGGTGTTCTGGAAGACATAGTGAGCGACCGAGATACTCGCTTCATGTCGGCCTTTTGGACTTCCCTCATGGCTGAGTCCGGTACGACAATGAAGCTGAGCTCGGCTCGGCACCCGCAGACGGATGGTCAGACGGAGCGAGCACACCAGACCGCTCAGATGATATTGCGTACGTTCATCCATCCCGACCAGAAAGATTGGGTTGACCGGCTTCCCGACATCGAGTTCGCCTATAACACTTCGGTGCACCCGGCGATCTGCGTCACACCATTCGAGCTACATCATGGTGGAGAGAAAGCACGGATCTTCGCTGATCTCCTTTTGCCACAGGCTGCCGACATAGACGTCCCTTGCTCTCCCGCTTCCATTCGGAAGTACCTGGACTTGCTGATCAAAGCCCGCGCGAATATGCAAAAGGCTCAGATCCGCATGCAGCGGCAGGCTAACCGACGTCGACTCCCATGTCCTTTCCGCAAGGGAGACCTTGTTTGGGTCTTCTCCGAGGAATTTGCGCTCGAGCAAGACGTTTCGCGCAAACTCCTTCCGAAATGGTTCGGACCATGGGAAGTCACTTCTGCCGTTGGAGACGACCCCGCAGGTCCTTCCTTTCCGGTCAACATTCCCCCGCACCTTCCAGTGCACCGAGTCTTCCACGTGTCGAAGCTGGCCATCTACACGCCACCTTCCGCCGACGAGTTTCCCGGTCGTCGATCACATGATCCGCCTTCTATGGACGGACATCAGGAAGTCGAACGAGTCATCGTGCACCGCAAGTATGGCAACAAGCCAATGCAGTTCAAAGTCACATTCAAGCAATATGCGCCTGACGACACTCGATGGATCTCAAGTGCAGACTTGCAGACTTCTGCACCCCTCATCTTCGCCGACTATGAGAAGCGACGCCTTGCCAAGGAAGCAGCTCGTCCGTCCGACCCGACCCATCCCGGTATCGGACAGACAACTCCGCCCTCGCAAGTAGCTCGGTCTTTTAAGAGGGGGAGTGTGTTACATCTTCGATGCCACACGGGTCCTACCGGACCCGACTTAGGGCTAGAGGGACACAGTGGGGCCTAAAGGCCCGACTTTGGGGATTATCAGCCGAAAGGCCACGACTTGGACCAGACCGACGGACCAGGCCCAAAACGAAAATGGCCCAAGCGACATTTTCGTTTTGGGCCTGGCGGCGCCTTTGAGGCGGCCGCTCTCCGGTCGGATCTGAATCGTCGATCTGGACGATTCAGACCCAACCGAGGNCGACATTTTCGTTTTGGGCCTGGCGGCGCCTTTGAGGCGGCCGCTCTCCGGTCGGATCTGAATCGTCGATCTGGACGATTCAGACCCAACCGAGGCCTCGCAGCATTGAGGCCGGTCTTCTTCGAACCAGTACTTAGTACTGGTCCGGCCTCACTTCGAGGCATCGAGCCACTGGCATGCTGTTTCAGCGCCAGTGCGTATCGGTTGAGGCAGCAGCGCTATTCTTAACGCAGGAGCGAGGCAGCATCAGCGGCAGCAGCGCGCGCTAGCGCAACAGCAGCGGCGAGACAGGAGCGAGGCAGCAGCCCTCAGCAGTACGACGGCCATAGCCGCGACCTGCAGTCGGACTGCAGCACAGCCAGGTATCAGGAGGCGAGAAGGCTTCTTCTCCCTCCACGGCTACCGGCTCTCCCCTCCTCATCTCCTCCTCCTCTGCCATCTCTCCTTCTTCTTCTTCTTCTTCTTCTTCTTCTTCTTTTTCTTCTTCTTCTTCTTCAGATTGGATACTTGATACTAGTTGGACAGAGATCAGTGTTGGACTTCGGTGGTAAGAGGCTGTGGTACTTACCGGGTTCGAGACTTGGAGATTGTTGGGGATGATACTCGGCTGCATCACAGATTGGACACCGGTTACATTAGGACTCTGTACCTCCGACATTGGTGACTTATTATCCGCGACATTTGATCTTGTTCGATGACATTCTGGATTACCATATCGGTGACCTACTGGTTTCTATCTCGGTGACATCTGGTGCTACCTTCATCTCCCACCTCCTTCGTCTCTCCTCCTACCTTCATCTGTGTAYGTGCGTGAAGGGCCTGAGCATCGTCTATGCATGGCTCAGACCCCACCATCTCACAATTGTATGTGTGTGGAGTGATATCTGTGTGAGTCAGCCTATGTGAGTCAGTCCGTTTATCAGACTTCCGTTGCATACATRCTCWTCCTATATTGGTTGATCTTTGGTTCTGCCCCATACTCGTTGATGAAATCACGAGTATGTAACACTGAAGGAGGGAAGCCATAGCTATGGTGGACTTGTTGTTGTTGTTGTTGTTGTTGAGTTGAGTCAGCAGTAAGAGGGAACTTCGGATATTGATTCTGGTTCATCCATTCATTGTTATTATTATTATTGAGAGAAGAATAAGATTGGTGAAGCGAATGAGGAGGAAGGTGGAGAGAGAAGGGGGAATTGTCATTGGTCTTGCTGGTGTACATCTTCTTCTTCTTCTTCTTTTTCTTCTTCTACTTCTTCTTTCTCTCTCCTCCGGTCTTTATCTCTTTGCAAGTGCTTTCATTTCTTTCGCAATCGGGTGGCATTGTCTTTCATTGTGAATTTGCACTTGGGAAATGACCAGGATCGT